TTGTATGGCTAGTAAAGATCTTCTCCCAATCTGTGGGCTTTCTATTGATCTTTTAATTCATTTTCTTTTACTTCCCTTCTTTTTCTTTCTTTCTCTCTTTCTTTCTTTCTTTCCTGCTTTCCCTCCTTTCCTTCCTTCTTCCCTTCTTTCTCTTTTTCTTCCTTGTTGGTTCCAGAGTTTGAACTCATGCTTTCAGGACCTCATACTCATTCAAATGGCACTGCCCTACCACTTGAGCCCTACCTCTAGACCAGCTTCTTACTGGTTATTTTGGAGACAGTGTCTAGCTAACTTTTCTCCCTAGAATGATCCCAAAATGCTATCCATCAAATCTCAGCCTACTAAATAGCTAGTACGACAGACGTGAGCCATCAGCACCTAGCGTCATCTATTTTTCTTATTCCAACTGTGCAGTAATGATAAGTATACCTAGGTTTAAATCCCTAGCTGGGGTGTTTTGAGCATGTCATTTAACATGAAGAAATTCAGGCAAAGTAATCACATCATGGTAGGTATTTTTAAGGACATTCGAATGGGCTAATGTATAAAAACTTCTCAGTTAAGTTCTTAGCACATGGTGAGCTAAAGGTTAATTTATTTCATTAGTACAAATAGTGCATTTTAATAAGTATTTGATGTTAAGAACACTTTTAGGCCAAAATATTATATATGCCTTTAAATTTAAATTTATCAAGACAGCTAATATAAATTCAAGTGGTCATTTCTTCCAGAAATCTCAATATTCTTTCAGAACTATCACTGGCATCTGAATCATTTGTCAGTTATGAGAAAAAACATAATTTTAAATAGAGTAAAACTAAGCAAATCTGATTATACATATGTATCTATTATATAGCTATAAAAATTAGTTTGTCCATTTAAATTAATATCACTTAATCTCTCCAATACACTAGCAATTGAATGAAAAGTTGGTTTATCTTGAACACTAGTTACTAGAATGAATCTCATCATCAAACTACTTAGCCTGATGTTACAGTTTGGCTCTGAAATATTCCCACTGGCTCTTATGTTAAATCCTAGGTTCCTAGCTGGTGGCAATGTGGAAAGTTTAGCATAGGGCCTAGACAGAGGAAGTATGTCACTGGAGGTGAGTCACTGGGGGGTATCTTGGTCCTGGCCCTTTCCTGTCTCACTGTCTGCTTTCTGTCTGCCATGAGATAAGTAGCCTCCTCCACATACTCCAACCACCAAGTACAAAGTGCACAGTGCCAAACCACCATGAACCCTCTGAAACTGTAAGCCCTCTCTTCCTTTTTATATTTAAAAAGGTATTTTAACATTCTTAAAATCATATCTCTCTTGTTAGGCAAACTTGTCACTTGCAACCTTGAAGCTCATCCAGATTTATCTGATAATTTTTTTCCATATTTGAGTAAGCCTTCTAAGTAACTGGAAACCCAACTTTGGTCCAAATTATAATAACTTCAGAATTTTTAGTCTCAACACATAATAATGATAATAAGAGGTATTAGAAAATGAAATCATGCCTTCACTAAAAGGAGATAGTGGCCTAATCCTTATCTGAATTCTCCACTCACATCGTATATGATCTAAACAAGTCTTTCAACTTTACAAGATGGCATTTCATAATGTGAACATCAACATGTGTAAAGGAAAGAACCTGAATGATATGCTCTATGAAGTCAATTCCAATTTTATGATTCTGTTCATTTTATGGAGATTCATTTAGATTTCACTTAGATAAACCAATCCTACCACTGAATGGTAATACTACCTAACTTTATTTTACTGAACTGTTTCAAAATTATTCCTCATAAATATTAGATAGGTGAATAAATAAATGAATATTTAGATGCATGTGGTAGTATATGACTTTTAGTATCTATTTTACAAGGTAATCCCCAAAGATAGAATATCAAAAAGAATGTAAGAAAATTTACAATCGAACAGACAATATATTTTATGAAACCAATTAAATGTTCATACTCCTCATAAAAAGTAATTTATATTTTTATATAATGAAATTAAAAGGACAAATACTAATGCAAAACAAAAATGTGATCCAAACTTTATTTGCTATCAGGTTATCCTCAGATTCCTAGAAAAGTGTTATAAAACTGCCAACTACATGCCTTGGCTTCAGGCTTGGTATATCAGTAGTTTGGAAAATTGATGGAAACGTATTGTTGGGCCATAAATGCAGAGATGATAAAATTCTGAGATCTGCATATATCATCATATAAAGTGGCTTAAATCATATGTGTAATTCAACACTATAGTTCTTCTTAAGATGTGTATTTAGTATATTTCTTGCAAATAATACACTGTGCTTTATATCTCACATTATAGAACTCTATAATTTTACATTAAAAATTAAAATTAAATACCCTGATAATTAACATGAAAAAGATTTGCCTCTAAAGACACCTTCTTGGATAAACATTTAACATGAATCCTAGATGGGAACTTTCATATAAAAAGACTTTTGGAAGTTTTCATATCCAGAACTTAATACCTGAAAAACTGGTGGTTGTAATATGAGCAATAACACAGCAGTGATTGGGGAGGTATATGCACACATGTCCACTAAGAAGACATCAAGATATGCCCTCTGGCAAGTGGATTACTGCATTAGCTTCAGTGAAGTACATGCATCTGCACCAAACAATGAAGAATCTAGCATTCTTAAATTACGCATACTCATGAGCCATATATATACATATTAAGGGAGTCAGCCTTCAACTCACTTCACTAATGTAACAGAACAAAATATCCCCAAAGTCTTTCGTTTACATTTTGCTCTGAAAAGATTTTCATTAGCTTCTTCATTTTGTATATTCAGTATTAAATAAAGGTACAGTGCAATGCACTAGGAAGATAAATTTAGGTTTAGAGTTAGCTCTCAGTTGAAAACACCTAAAACACTGCATGCATTCATACCCTGTTTTCTTCGCAATAAAGCCATTTACTTATACTCACAGGGCAGTACTTGACAGTGGAGCAAGGTGGGGTGTAATGGTAATTATTTTCCTGAGAAGATTACAATCTAGGAATTTATATATATAAATATATATATATGTATATGTATATGGTTCACTTCATCACAATCCCTGGTATGGCTAGCTTTGCAAAAAAATCCATTTTCCCATGCATTGTTGGGCAAGGGGTGTTGTTTCTCATTATATGTTGCTAACACACTGTTATTTAGGCAGTATCTCAGCTGCCAGAGCTCCTGCCTCCCAATCCACTGGTGCTACCTCTTGGGGCACTGACAGCCTTGAGGACAAAGTACAGAAATGGCTAACCTAATCTAATACGATTTAGAGGAGTGGAGGGTTGGAGGAAACAATTTCACAGTTCATTCATGTTGAGAAATGTTTCCTAGCATGTAAACTTGCATGCTGCAAACAGAGCAAAATGGATTCCCTTTGCAGCCTTGAGTCATTTATTTGAAAATGCCATCTATTAGTTTGTGGGGTTAGAGCTGTCCCTTAGACACATCTGTTTATATGTTTAGGTAGATTCTTCAGAACAGCACAAGGTATTTTTTGCTCAGAAATGAATTTTAGGAAATAAGGTGTCATTACATTCTCGTCTGTTCAGATGGATTTCATTAATAACCAGTTTTTTTCATTGCAAATAATGATTTGACTTGCTGTTTTACACTCACTGAAAAATTAAGGTGAGGAGGAAATATA